TCTAAGAGTAAGTCTACCTAGACTTACGTCGTTTAATAATTCATGTTCTACATCAAATTTTAATGATCCAATCATTGAATTTAAAGTTCTTAATGCATATATCAAGTCTACAAAATTTTTAAAAAATTTAAAAATCATTTGATACTTCATTTCATTAATTCAAATTGACGGATAATCATAAATCATTTTATACATTGATTTGAATTAATGAAACAAAGTATCAAATGATTTTCAATTTTTTTTAAAATTTGCAGATTTGATCTATGTATTAAAAACTTTAATTTCAACAATTGGATCATTGAAATTTGATGTAGATTATGAGTTATTGAACGGAGTAAGTCCAGGTATACTTATTCCTGAAGTAAACAGATTCATCCTCCTATAAAGTTAATATCTCAATTATTTAATTAAAATTTATGTTTTAAAACAACATATTTTATACTTATTTTGGTAAATAAAAATTAAATAATTGTTTGAAATATACAAATTTTGATTTACTAAATAATTTCGTATTAATTTTGGTGCTAATATGAAATAGTTAATTATCTTGTACAAATCAAAGAAAAATGAGCAACAAAATAGATAGATCGATAAATATTTATTTGGACAGGCTTTCAAATATATTGTAACAAATGTAAAAATGTAAATACTGAATGGGGAGAGATTGGAAAAAGAAATAAATAATTATAGTAAAAATACAATAAATGTGTTGTTATCAAAACTGGTAAAAATAGAAAAAATTAATTATTATAGTTGACACCATATACAAACATGAAATCTCTTTATTCCTTGATTTCAAGGGGTCACAATACAAATTAATGACAAATAATGAAATTAATAAGATTACAAAATGAAATTTATCTTTTCTAATCACAAAAATGATTTTAATGTGGTGAAGAGGTCATGGGTGACAACAAAGAAGATGTTGGTGTAAGAGACTGTTGGGGCAAGTGAGCCCGAGAGGAAGAGGTTGGTGTAAGTGGAGATAAAAGCGATGGAGGAGAGTAGGATAAAGGCATTGCAACCCTTGAGAAAGAAGTAGTCGTTAAAGAAGGGATAAAGAGAAGTAATGACAATGATGAGATTGACATCTTTGTGAAGAATGAGAAACTCATAATCAAAGAAAGAGGGAGGGGGAGAGGAGGAGGAGGAGGAGTGAGTGAGTGATATTATAAAGAGTGAAACTTTTAGATTTTGTGACTTTTAATTTTTATGGATAGAGATATATTAAAATAAGTAAAAGACTACAAAATAACATATAAATTTTCTCGTTAACATCATAGTGCGTAAATGCATTTTAAAGTGACATATTAGAGTATAACTCAACTTTTATATTATAAATAGATGACTTCTTTCTAATTTTGTCTTATTTTCATATCATTTTATTACATCAAACACACTATAAAAAAAGAGTTGAGATAGATAATCTATATTCTCATTAAAAATCTATAAAAAAAAATTGATGAATTAATTTTAATTTTACATGGAATTGTATCTTATTCCAATATAAACTTTTCGATTAAAACAAAAACACTTTGTAAAAGCCACGTTAAAAAACATTACTTCCCCATTTTCCGCCACAACAAAGCGTTGCTTCCCATTCACATGAAATTAAAATGATTTCCCCTCAGCTCACTGCCATCCCAAACACGTTAATAGTCTCATATAAAAAAATTGTTTTAAGTTGAAGTAATGTTCGATAACATTTACTTTGAATAAAAAAATGTTATGTTTAGGTAAATAGTTTAAATAAATATTTAATTGATAACATTTTATTATATAAAAAGTTATGCCATAATTTAATTATAATAAATAAATAAAAATAATAAACTACAGTTTAATCTTATTAAAAAAATTATATATGGGACCTTGAAACAGAAGTCAAAAAAGAAAAATATGGGAGCCGCAGAAGATTTGTCCTTGGCAAGACGCAAACCGAGAAAAAAGCGAGCAGGAGAGAAAAGAGGACGCTTTTTCCATTTGCGGTCAAACCATCAGCCTCTCACACGTCACACCTAAATCCCGTGGGCCGTGGAGGTGGAGACTGGAGCCTCACCAGTCACCCCACAATTGGACACACCAAAACACCACAAAAATTGAAATTCAAATATTACAAAATAACACACCCAACAAAAGTAAACAAAATGCTTAATGCTTATCAGGAACTACAGAAAACAGATCCAGAAAACAAAAAGAGCAAGGGGGTAATACTTTCATATGAGACAACAGTAGTTCGATTAAGCAAATGTAGTTTCACAAAATATAAATTTTATTCATTTTTTTCCTAACCAATTTCTTGTGAGCCACCAGTGTTATCTTCGTGTTCCAAAGAAGTAATACCAACTAATATCCTTTCTGCCATGTGCCATATACATCCAGCGCTAACATAATTTTCATTTTTACTCTGTACTATCATGTCATGTGCAAAGCATCTAAATCTATATTACTGAAATCGGAAACTAGCCAGTTGTGTGACCTTATTTTTCAAATATAACCACTTGCACAACTGCAAACATAAACGTGATTAGCAGGATCAACATGTGTGAGAGAAAATTCCTCACGGCCAAACTAGAATTTATTTGCCACACTTTTTTTTTATAAAAAAAAAATAAGTATAGAATAATCGATTCATAATCTAATAAATCTTCATAACTACGATGATATTCAATGTAGCACAAGTCAGCTGTAATATTTCATTCAACCAGAGCAATTATTTGATGGCATGTGTACCTAAGATGATAATTAATCATCTTCAGTGCCACCGACAACAGACTGGTTAATCATGTCCACAAGCTCAACAGTTCGGAAGAAATAATGCACTGATACGCTCAAAACGAGAAATCTATGCATAAAGTCCTAATATAACATGAAGATTAAAAAAAAAATGGAAGGCTCAGCAATTGAACAAGAATCAGGACATGTGTTTGAAGTGAGAAACAGGCAAACCCAACATTACATTTCACAAGGAGCATGTTGGCCTATGTTGGATGGATATGGGTACAGGATAAAAAATACGTAATTTTAAAAAAATCTTGGGTACAACCACGCAAGTTTGTTAGTGTAAACTTAAAAAGATACAGATGAGAAATTTTCTTATATAAACATGATCAAGACGAAAAAAAAATAAAATACAGAGCTCTTGTCCTGATAAATTAACCCAAATTTTAGAAGCAAGAAGCAAACTCGACTAGGACAGAACCCCTCCTAAACCAACACAAGTTTTTCTGGAAGTTATTTCTCATTGATAATATTTCAATAAAGTCTGCCTTTAAAAAAGGCTACAAAGATATCCCTAACAAAAATCCTAATTGATCCTTATTGCTAAAATAAAAATAGAGATTCCCAATTAATAGGATCAAAATGAACAATTATCCTAAACAATAAAATAAGGATCTGAAATCAAGATTCTCAAATTCAAATATCAAGATAGGTTAAGATAAAGAAAAAAAGAAAAAAGATGAAAAAATCAAGACTAAATAAATAGATATGATAATCCTAATTAATGGTCCACATCAGCTTCATCAGGACAGAGTAAGAACTTGAACTTCAAGCAATTTAACATTAAGTGGTAATATTAAATAGGTTAAAATATTCTTTTAATCTTTATAATTTCAATTATTTTATCTTTTAGTTTTTATAGTTGAAAATAATTTTTTTAATCACTATATTTATTTGTTTCATTTTTTAAAAATATTTTTATAGGTTAAAATAACATTTTGTGTAATACAAATTTAAGTTTGTAATTTTTTTTAAAAAAATTATTTGATATTTTATGATATAATTCAAATCAATGTATAAAATGTTTTTATAATCACCCGTTAATTTAAATTAATGAAACAAAATATTAAATAGTTTTAAAATTTTTTTAAATTTTACAAACTTAATCTATACATTAAGAACTTTTAATTTAATGATTGAATTGTTAAAATTTAAAATACAACATTAGTTATTATGTAAATTAAATTTATATAAATTTATTATTAGAATAAGTAAATTTCCCATTTTTATATATATATAGAAGAGTGATCCATTTACTTCAAGAGTAAGTCTACATAGTCTTACTCCATTCAATAACTCATGCTCTATTAAAATCTCAATGATCCAAAATTGAATTTAAAGTTCTTAATACACCGATTAAATCTGTAAATTTTTAAAAATTTAAAAATCATTTGATATTTTGTTTCATTAATTCAAATTGACGAATAATTATAAAAACATGTTATCCATCAATTTGAATTAATAAAACAAAATATCAAATAATTTTTAAAATTTTTAAAAATTTACAGATTTGATATGTGTATTAAGAACTTTAACGATTAGATTGTTTAAATTTAATATAAAACATGAGTTATTGAACAAAATAAATGTAAGTAAATTTATTTGTAAAATAAACAAATCCATCGTTATATATATATATATATATTTATTTATTAGGGTGGATGATCACCCAACTAGTTTTCAAAGAATTTTCTATGTCCATGCATGAGGACAAAAACAAATCTTATCAATGCTCGTAATATACGTCATAAAGATTGTCCTTTTATAATTTTCCATGGAAAAATAATTCCAAAATTAAAATTTAGCCTCTCGATTATGCTAAGCAACTACTCCTTCGACCAATGATCAGCACTGCATTCGTTCCCACCTCGACAAATAAGCCCACCATATGGACAAGTTAAGAATGAACATACCTCATAAAATTTCTACAAATGTTTACGTCCCTAATCCCATCAAGAGTTTCAAGATAAAACAAAGAAAACAAAACACGTAACCTGCAAATGGACATGCATTATCGTTATGTCCACCTACTAAACTATCCTTGATTTTTTTTTTAATTTATTCCGTGTAATAATAGACATTCTTAAATCTTAACTAAAGATAAATTCAACGAGGGAATAAAGCAAAAAGAAAAGAAACAAACTAAAAGAGGATAAAACAAAATAAAAAAGTAAAAAAATTACATATTTTAAAGTGAAGGGAGCAGATAAAAGAAAAAAAAAAAGAAGAAAAAGAATAAATTATGGAAACTCCTGAGTCCTGAGTGGGATTCTCTCCCCAAAAAAGAGTAAACAACTCTACCCTTCCCAATTCCCATTCATCATGCCCATCTTTTTGTCCCTTTCCACTTTTTCTTTTCCCCCAAAAATTACACTATACAGCATAATGACAAGAACAAGAAAATGAAGGGTTTGACGAGTCAACTCGGAACGAGTTGTCCTTGACGAGGACGAATGTCTTTGAGCAAACCCAACACCTGTTGCATGCTGGGCCTCTTCCAAGGTGACTCCGCCGTACACAAGAACGCCACTCGGAGACTCTCCACCATCTCACTCACCACCGACTCACCGCCACCCACTCGCAGCCTCTCGTCCAGCACCCTCTCACCGCGCCCCTCCCTCACCGCCTTCCTCGTCGCCGCCACCGCCTCCGCCCTGCTCTCCTTCCCGGTCAGCAGCTCCATCAGCGCCGCCCCGAAGCAGTAGACGTCATCCTCCGTGCCGCCGTTCGGACTCGGGTCGGCTCGCAACCCGAAATCGGCAATCCGTGGCTCAAAGTCGTCGGCAAGTAGAATGTTGGAGGTAACGAGGTGGCCGTGCACCACGGGCTTGGAACGCGCGTGGTGAAGGTACGCGAGGCCACGCGCTATTCCCACCGCGATACGGTGCCGTGTTAACCACCCCATCTTTTCTGGGGATCCGTCGTCGACCACGCCGTTTTGAATCTCCCACGTGTCGCTTGTCCAATCCTCCACGTTGGTGTCCCCAGTTGGAAGCTCGTGTAGCCACCTTCCCAAGTCCCCGTTTGCCATGTACTCGTACAGTACCAGTTTCTCCTTACCTGAAAATTCAACCAATTTTTTAAATACTATATTAATAATATAGTTCAATTAAATATAATTTATACATTGTTTATCGATTTTTAATATAAAACATACAGTAAGTTCTTAATATCTTTATTCATGACAAATGCATAAAACCTTTAAAAATTAAATAATTGAAAATAACAATTCATGATATTATCTACAATAAAAAAAAATCAAAAGAAACGAAGTCAATATTTAACAACTTGCATTCTGTTACAAATCTACAATGTCTCCCCTGTCACATGTAAAGCTCTTTCTTCTGGATAATAACCAAACTAAAATTATGGGAGTTCTGGATTCATGGACTCAACTTAAATTCAAGTTCATAGTTTTATTTCACGGGTGAATGGAGACAAACGCACGCAGCCTAAGAAATACTAGTGCACAATATATTTTTCATTAAAAAGAGGAAAGTTTATGCAAGTGCATTGCGTTTTAGTGAATTGTGGCTACTAAAAAATTAAACCTGCGGAAAGTACACTACGCACGAATTACCAGACGCAATGATAAGCATGGAGTTTAGTATATTATATTTGTAGTTGAAGAAACAAAGGATGACAGAGAGAGGAGGGAAGATGTTGAGTATGAAACATTGGAAGAGACAAAGACATTAAAAAATGAAACCCGTGAAAGGCATTAATGAGAATTGAGAGCAGAGCCGCGAAAATGAAAACATTTTGAAAGAGTGTGTGAGGGGTACGGCACGCTTACCTGCAATGCAGTAACCGGAGAGGGGCAACAAGTTGGGGTGCTTGAGCCTGGAGAGGTCAACGAAGGTGGAGACGGAGTCATGAGGATCAACGTCTCTGGCGTGTTCCAGCACCTTGATTGCCACGTGGAGGTCCCCGGGCAGCACGGCCCGGTAAACGGGCCCACACCTTCCCTCCGCCAGGAGGGAATCCTTCCCGAAGTGTGACGTGGCAACAATGAGGTCCTTGAAGCTCAGATTCATCAACGGCTTCTCGAACATCACCACCGCCGCCGAAGACGGTTCCTTCAGGTCAGCCACCCACGTTGACCCCGATTCCGTCTCGAACGCGAACGGCCCTGATTTCTCCACCACGCTGTTCATCCCTTGTGGGACCGGCATCGAAATCGCCCACTTTCTCCTCTTCGCGCCTTCCTTCCTCTTCTCCATCACAATGCAGAGTACCCAAGTGGACAACAGAATCAGTACTAGCGCTGCCGATGCACACGGCGCTGCAACAATCACCGTTTTGGATTTTGGC